GAATCTTGTGCCTTGCCCGCCTAAGAGGTGAGCAAGACAATGGGAGAGGGGGATCTCCCCAACATTAGAGTCTACATCAGTGAGGAATAACGTTTACCCCTCCATATTTGGTCATCCTTAAGGTTTTTTGTTGAAAGATTTTAGACACCGTTTGAAGAAGAAACAGATTCTGTTGAAAAGAAAAGTAGTTTTGGATCCTGTGTTTTAGAACTCCACTGACTGTAACAACTTGAAACATATTGTGACATCCTCCTGGGAACCATTTTTTAATTTACCAATTGTTGTGGAGAAATGAATAAAGTCTTTCCACAAAGTCTTCAAAATATCGATAATCAAAATGTTACAGTGTTGCTGTCTGCCATTGAGTTGCAAACCTGCTATGCTGCGAGATGTCTTGCCAGCATGCCTTACACAAGGCAAATAAGCTATGGTCACCACTGCTCTGAAAAAAATCAATGAAATGAGATCTGTAATATAAGAAAGCCTCCCAGGTAATACTTTTTAAAAGCTGCAGTGGTTGTATGAATGTGATGGTTATTAACTGATTTGCTGTGTAGTGGTTTTGCTCTCATCCATCTATTCTTTAGTTATTGCTAGGATTAGATTTTTATTGGTAAATGTCGGCAAACATCAATTTTGCTGTACACACACACAAACCGACAACAAATATTTTCACCTTAATAACAGAAAATTACGGACAGGCAAAGAAAGAAAAATGCTGCTTGAGAACGCAGAGTTTGTATATTTTGACGTGATCATGACAATTTGTGTTTTAACTGTTATAAAGCTTTAACTTTTTGAATCTCAACATCTACTCTCATTAAATAATTATTTTCTGACCCTCCTCCATAATTTCTGTGAAAATTTACATCAATCAAAACAGAAAAAATGCTTAAAAATAAACATTGATATTAGCCATCAAAATTATAAGTAAAAATTGAATTCTGCCAAGCCTACTTATTGCCGAGAAAGAATGCTGGAAAAAACTGCAACAGCATTCCTTTTTTCTTCACTGAAACAGGATCTTGTGTATTTGTCTACAGCAATCATTCACCCTTTTTAACACAATATATTTGGAAGCCATTCAAAAAAAATTTAGTTGATGCAACCATAAATACAAAGGGATTTTTTTGTTTGCTTGTTATACAGCACTTTTATACCTTCATTCTATTATAAAAGAAATTTTTCCAGGTGTAACAAAAGCAATAAAGTGATAACAAAATATCATCTAATGCCCAAGCCTGAAAGTAGTCACATTGAAGTCATTGGGATTAATCATGTGCTTGAAGTTAAGGGTGTGCATGAATATTTTCAGGCTCAAAGTTAAATTTGTAAGGTGAATTTTTAATGCAACAATGGAGTGAATTCTTTGGACAATATACGAATCATTGCCTCAAGTAGTATCATTCATTCACATAAATGTATTATTTTTTTCTTCTAAAACCAAGATTGTTAAGAAGATCAAAGAAAGAATATTACAAAGAGGAGATTTCTATTTTTAAACTGTTCTTTATCTATACAGTAGTAAGGTGCAGTTCAATGGATTTCACAAGTTGGTTGGCTGGTCAGTTCTCATGTTGTCAGCTGAATAGTGTAGAGGTCACCAAATGTCTTATGTGCCTACATCATGTTCCATCCTGAGCAAAGTAGAAGAACTAAAAGCTGACCAAATAAATTCTTGATATATCAAGTATATACACCTTTCTACCCAATATAACCCTGAGGAATTCTCAGCTATGCAAATAAATTCCTTGGTTCTCGTTTGGCAGACCAAACGAGAGTTAGCCAAAGAATCCTTCAACCAAAGATGATCTGATTCTCTCATTTCAAGTCAGTTCTCTAAGATCTAATTCTCTTGTGTGAATAGTCTTGTATACAGAGATTAGGTGAAAAAGGAAGCATACTCCTAAAAGGACTTAAAAATACTCTAACGTCCAAATTATGACTTTTTTCAAGCACTAAAAGACTATCCTTTGGATGACAACTGAATCAAATCAGCAAGTGTGCACATTTATACCACACTCATACAAGAGTCACAAGTCAGCATAAAGAACGTGAAATAGGAAACAGAGCAGGTCCAAATATTATTATTAATTCATTCTGCAACTCCAGCAAGGCCATTGTATATACTTTACACATTTTTTTAAACTGTCTTTTAATGGTGAATAGACAAAATACAAATACTATGATGAAAAAGAATTCACTTCACAGAAGTTGCTGAATGAATGTTGGACCAAAATATGAATTTATCTACACTCTAGCATAGAACAGTAAATATAACTAAAACTTAAAATTTACATTTGTATTAGTTTACGATATTAGTCCTTCAAAATATTCTCCAGTTTCTGAGTAACTTTATAGCAAAAATCTGAAAAATATTGTAACCCGATAACAAGCAGCTAAAACACCCTCAGTTTTTATGATAGCAGTAAACCTGTACATGAGAAATTTAGAAGAGACTATACAATATGCTGAAAAGGAAACTTAGATATCATCTGTAGAAATAAATTAAGATGCCACTAGGACATAGTAACCCCAACTCAGTTGTGCATATTTATAGTATGTCAAAGTCTTCTTCACAAAAATGTTCCTTACATTTTTTTATACTTGTGCTTTCACAGTTGTGACAATAAAAAATAAAGATTTAAGGAAAAACTGAGCTGACTAAGCTGCAGATTGAAGTTTTCCATTATAATAAAAACTTCACTACCAATAAATTGGGCAATATATCCCTTTATAAAGTGTGCAGACGCATCATATCTAGTAATTATTTTTATGTACTGCACAAGTCACTACTGCACAGCATCACAATGCTTCCACAATTAAAAATCAAACTAATCAATTTTTTTAAAACCTGTTTAAAAGGGTAAAAGTGCAAATTAAGGCTGTTAAATATGTATTTATTGCTGGAGTTTAACACAAAGGCATTCAATTCAGGTCATAGATCTGCCTAAATTCTGTATCACGGGTACTTTTCACATGTATATAATATGTATATAATATACTCAAAGCACGTATTAAAATACTGAGAACTGTTTGAAATGGGCCACCCTCATTACCACTACAACAGTGATTTTTCCTCCCTTGGTATTCTACTGTTAATTGAATTGTCTCGTTAGACTGACCCCCCTACTTGGTAAGGGAACTCCCATCTTTTCATGTACTATGTATATATACCTGCTACTGTATTTTCCACTCCATGCATCTGATGAAGTGGGTTCTAGCCCACGAAAGCTTATGCCCAAATAAATTTGTTAGTCTCTAAGGTGCCAGAAGGACTCCTCGTTGTTTTTGAGAATCAGACAGTTTTCCTGCCTTTTTCTTCCAAATGAAACTCTATTTGCAAAACTAGCACGTTAACAGACCATCAATGATAAAGAATGGAAGCGGCTCTGCTCAACGAGTACATTAAGGAAAGAGGCTAGATTAAAATTAGTTTTGGCAGGCGGCAACTGAACATATAATGTTTTCTTAATAATACCGCTAGCAGTCAGAACACAGTTATAGTTTTTACTGGTCCATATTACTCAATCAGGAAATGGAAAACCTGGGCCATGATCCTGCTATCAGATACACACAAGCAAAGCCCTGAACCTGTGCAAAGATCAACTGAAGTCAAGGGAATGCTGCAAGATTGCAAGAGGCTGTGCTAGTGCATCCAATTGCAGGATCATGACCAAAAGTCCCAGTTCTATAAGTCCTACATTCATGAATTTCCTTTACCTTAAGGACCAAATCATACCTGCTTTACTCCAGTAACCTTACTGAAGTTAATGTGACTTCATCTGTGAAATGACCAGGAAGTAGCCCTTAGTTGCAAACTGGGATTTAAAAAAAATATATATAACACCTACTAATGACAATGCTAAACAGAAGTAGTAAGACTTCAGACTACCAAATTGTATGTATCAAGTGTACTTTACAAGACAGGAAAGTAAATACAATAAGCTTAGCAACACAATTCAAGTGTGCTACATTTATTTTTTTAAATGACAAAGATTTAGTAAAAATTGATTATCCTTTATAAATTAATTTTCCTTCTTGAATCCTATATATTACCTAACAGTTAAATGTTATATGAAAGATTAGATTCTTTCAGTAAAATTTATTATGCAAATACATTTCTAAAATGTACATCAACTTAAGTTTCAGCATCAGCATGCAATAATTCAGTTTACTATGAAGAGTACCGAACCACTATGTTTTTAAACAGCTAAGTAACATCATAACAACCCAAGCTTTTCAGAACAAAACCAAAAGGCATTCCAATTACATTTCAGACATACTTCTTAACAAAAACGTATTTATATACTTTCATCTGCAATTATAATATTCATTTCAATGCAAATTGATTTTTTTTTTAAAAAAGTGGCTTTTTTAAGGTATACCGTGGCTTTCTGTATCCTTCTGGGACTTTTGTGGTTAAGCCCCCCAGCCAGCAGGAGGAGACGGTTCAGAATTGAAATTATGCCTCTCTACTCGTTGCCAAAGCCCAGTTGGGTGAATTTCAAATCAACAGGACTGTTCCAGTTCCAAAATTGAACAATAATAATCAAGGCGATTAAACAAACTTTATATCTACCTCTAATTTCATAGCAGGAAAAAAATTAACCGCTACTTCATTCTGTGATTCAGACCAGGATTATTGGGATAAAGTAAATGACAAGATTATAGAAAAGGTACAGTAATATAATTGCAAGAGCAGTCCCAAAGGACGAATAGTCAGATTACCTGATAACTACTGGTTACAGAAGTCTGCCCAATAATTGCAGACTTGTACAGAGAACAAAGCAAACTAGCATCTTGAGATATTCATGGCCAAATTCACTAAACTCCCTGACTAGTTTCCATACTAATAATGCATTTGACAAGGTTTTGATGCATATGGAGATTCAATTTCAACCATAGGGCTAACTGTTGCACACACACTATATCTGTATCTCAATATCACAGACTAAAAGCCTAAAATCACTTTAATAGATATTTAAAGGAACACTCACTAAATAGTTGTCATCCTGGAAGGCATAGTGCAATGTTGTGATCCACTGGTTATCTCCATTCACTAGTACATCCCTCTCTTCTCGAAAACAGGCTGTCTGAAGGGGAGAAAAGAATATTTTAGTTACAATAGATATTAGTATCAAACAATACATGTAAGTCATGAAATGGCAATCAAATACATAGGATGACATTACGACATACATTTATCCCCCTTCAGTAAAAGCCATTTAATCCACACTCCTGACATGTTGAGAACATGGGGCCAGCAGTGTATCGACACTTTACATCTACTTGGAGTACAATTGTACTTCCCAGTTATTGTTCTTGGGATGAAGACAGAAAAAACAGACTCTTCTGCTCACTGTCTCCAGATCACAGGTCAAAATCTGCTCACAGACCTGTTCACGGGGAAGTCAATGAGATTATAATATGGTATCTGAGGGCAGAACTAGCCCTACATGTGCACAATTTCTTCTGTGAGCTATATATGTTTCTATTATAAACACTCATTTTCAGGATTTATAACTTGTCCAAAAAATTACAGCCACACAATTGTACTGCAAGATTGTTTGACTCAGTACAAAACAGTGCTGTCTTATCTACAGCAACAAGACAATGTCAGATTCTCACCCCAACCTATGTATTTTGCTGCATTGAAAAAAATACAGCAAGACTCTTTATTTTAATCAGAGCTGATTCTCTGTGAGACTATTTGCATTATATAATTTATAAGCACAAATATGTTTATATAGGTACACAAACACAATGACCCCTATAGTAATGCAATTGAAGTCCACAGGAGTAGGATCTGGCTCTACATATTATGGGCTTATTTCACAGCACTGTCACTCCAGGTTTACACTGGTAGTCAGTCATATTTTATATGCGCAATATTTTTCTAATGATTATAAATAAAGTAACCTCCAGCTACTTCCATCTTCCCCTCAATCTATTAGTCAAGCTAGCCGATTTCTTTTTGGCATCATATCTGAGGGTTTGGCTGTTAGAATTAAGTTGACGGTGAGACATTCAGGAGGACATGTTAGAGACAGATTGAGATGCAAGATGGGATTGAAAGAAGCAGATTTGCGAGTCATTGGTCTAAAGATGGTAGTTGAAATCATGTCAGCAGATGAGATCACCCAGTGAGAAGGTATAAAGCAAGAAGAGGAGCAAGCCAAAGATGAAGTCCTCTGAGATCCCACACTGGGTAGGAAAGGAGAAGAGGAGAAACCATCAAGAGATGCTCAGGAATTACTGGAGAGGTAGGAGACCCCAGGAGCACAGAGTTGTGAAAGCCAGGGGAGGATAAAATGCTGAGAAGGAGAATAAACAGTGTCAAACATAGGAGACAGATCAAAGTGATTAGAGTCCCTGAGACTTGGAGAGGAAAATGTCAGTAGCAATCTTGGAGAGAGCAGATTTGGTAAACTAGAAAGGAAGGATGCCAAACTGAAGAGGATCCAAATGGAACTGCAGAACAGGAATTCCAGGCCATGGCTGTAAATGGTCTTCCATGAATTCAGAGTGAAAGGCAGAAGAGGCATAGGGTGATAGTTGAAGAGGCAGATGGACTTTTTTAGTTTTTGAAGATGCAGAGACCTGGACATTCTTGGATTTTGAGTGAGAGCTGGCTAGAAAAGGATGAAAGAGAGGAGGAGATTAGTGGATAGATGGAGATTTGGACGTAAAGTGTAGATGAGAAACTCTGGCAAGATATACTGTAAATATTCTGCTACTCCAGATACACATTTAATCAGTTTCTGTCAATTTCATCAGCTTAAACCATATCCTGTGTCTTCATATTTAAGCAATAGCTTAAAGAAAAATCAAACTTTTTCTTCCTTATTATTTTTTCAACTTCATTTCCAAAAACAGCCAAATACCAGAATGAGTATGGTTATTGTTGGCAGTGAACTTTGGAGAGGGACAAACGAAGAGTGCAGCTTAATGATTTTTGCGCAGAGCTGAAGCTAAACTTATAAGAGCAACCAAAAAACACCAAATCTTGTTTTGACCAGTAAAATGAGCAAATGTGATACAGAGGTCAGAAAGAAGAAACACTTGCTCACTTTTTACACCTGAATAGTAACATTATGCAAGAGAGAGTAGGAATAACTGACACAAGATTCACTAATAAAATACACCGCACAATAAACAAAAGATCTTTATTGGGAGTCAAATGAGAAACAGCATGAGGACAAAAAAAGAATTTGGGGGAAGAGTGGTTGGGGTTTTTTGTTTTGTTTTGTTTAAGTCTTTGCCAGAAATAGAGAACAATGAGAAACTATAAACTCTTTGTTATTCCCACAAACATAATGACAAGTAAACAAACTGCATGTTATTACACAGATGCATGGAGCTAGTTTCTACAGTGAGTCTATCTAATATTTATTGAGCCATCGTATCTGACACAAATTCACAAAAGATCTTGCATTCCTTTAGCACCCAAAACACCCACTCCTCGGCAGAATGTCTGGAACTGGCAGCAAAAGCTTTTACCACAGTAGATCACATTTGAAATTTTAATAGCCTGGAGGAGAAAGCTGGAGCAGCTCTCTCGCCAGTCTTGGGCTCCTGCTCTTCTCATATAACTCAACCTCTCCCTGGATCCTCAGCCCCACTTCATTGGGCTCCTTCTGGATGAAACTTTTCCAAGTACACAAATCCTGAGGCTTACAATGTGGATTCGTTTTTAGGGAAGATGTGTACCTAAATCTCTAAGATGGCTTTGACAATCTCACCTACACACATCAAAAGTAAAGTTTAAAACATATATGTATAAAAATAAACATTTATTTTAGATGTATGAAATCTGCTTTAACTTGTAATATCCCTTAGGTGCCCTCTAGTCTGGACAGAGTAAACAATACTACTGGGTGCCTCTCCCCAGCCTGTCTGGCCAAATTTTCTTGTATTTCACTTTTTCCTTGACTTGTCTGGCCTCCACTCTGTGGACTGCTTCTCTTGGACTGCCAGTCCTTCCCTTCCCCACTTCAGACTTTGCCAATGCTTTCTGTGGGTCTACTACTGAATTATGTAGGGCCATCAACATAGAATAATAAATAATAATAATAATAATGGGGATCATTATATGGTAAATTATGCAATTGCATAAATAACAGGGCCTTGAGGACGGTTATCTACAGGACGGGTCATGCAGGGCTCCTACTCTCCCAGCTGAGGAGAAGGCCAACAGGACTGAGTGACAGCAAATTAAGATAGATTAATTTTTCCCCTTGAAGGAGAAAATGAAGGAGCAGTAAGCAAATTTAGTACTAGTTTTCAGACCCAAAGAAATATGACAAATATGACTAATAGCTTCAGTGTATGTTACCAAACACTTGACAATGTATGTAAAGTGCAAAATTATATTACCTTAATCTTAATCAATAGATCTTTTGCTGATCTATTGATCAGAACTATTTTATGAAGTGTTAGATCTTTAGCACTCAATGCTCTACAACACTTAATCTCCTCATATTAGACAACACCAAAAGCTTGTTTTAGTTAAAGTTCTAGAATGAAGTGCAGTATAAATAAGTCACACACGATGGAATTCAACTGCATTTTTTGCATTCCAATTTATTTCCATCTTGGTGTTTATATTCTGATGATCTCCAACGTGCTCAGCCAACTGTTTAATAAGCAAGATTGATGGGAAATCCATTGTGTTTCTAGAGAGCATTTCCAAAGAAAAATTAAGACCAAGTGTTGATTTATATGGCCCCTGCATGTTTTATGAAAATTATATCACATTAAACGAATTAAATGACAGAATCAGAGAAATGTAGAACTTGAAGGGATATAGAGAAGTAATCAAGTCCAGTTGCTTGTGCTGTGGCAGGACCATGTAAACCTAGACCAGGGGTCGGCAACCTTCGGCATGTGGCCCATCAGGGTAATCTGCTGGTGGGCCGCAAGACATTTTGTTTATGTTGACCGTCCACAACCACGGCCCCCCGCAGCTCCCAGTGTCCGCGGTTCACTGTTCCCGGTCAATGGGAGCTGCAGGAAGCAGCGGCCAGCACATCCCGCAGCTCCCATTGTCCGGGAACTTGTTTCAACTCTAGAGGTGTTCCCCCGCCTCCCGCAAAGTTAGATGAAATTACAGTATGTTTCATTATTTCAGCATGAAAGCAAGAACATAAGAACATACGAATGGCCATACTGGATCAGACCAAAGGTCCATCCAGTCCAGTATCCTGTCTACCGACAGTGGCCAATGCCAGGTGCCCCAGAGGGAGTGAACCTAACAGATAATGATTAAGTGAGTTCTCTCCTGCCATCCATCTCCACCCTCTGACAAACAGAGACTAGGGACACTATTCCTTACCCATCCTGGCTAATAGCCATTAATGGACTTAACCTCCATGAATTTATCTAGTTCTCTTTTAAACCCCTGTTATAGTCCTAGTCTTCACAACTTCCTCAGGTAAGGAGTTCCACAGGTTGACTGTGCGCTGTGTGAAGAAGAACTTCCTTTTATTTGTTTTAAACCTGCTGCCAATTAATTTCATTTGGTGGCCCCTAGTTCTTATATTATGGGAACAAGTAAATAACTTTTCTTTATTCACTTTCTCCATACCACTCATGATTTTATATACCTCTATCATGTCCCCCGTTAGTTTCCTCTTTTCCAAGCTGGAAAGTCCTAGCCTCTTTAATCTCTCCTCATATGGGACCCGTTCCAAACCCCTAATCATTTTAGTTGCCCTTCTCTGAACCTTTTCTAATGCCAGTATATCTTTTTTGAGATAAGGAGACCACATCTGTACACAGTATTCAAGATGCGGGCGTACCATGGATTTATAGAAGGGTAATAAGATCTTCTCCATCTTATTCTCTATCCCTTTTTTAATGATTCCTAACATCCTGTTTGCTTTTTTGATTGCCGCTGCACACTGCGTGGACGTCTTCAGAGAACTATCCAAGATGACTCCAAGATCTCTTTCCTGATTAGTTGTAGCTAAATTAGCCCCCATCATATTGTATGTATAGTTGGGGTTATTTTTCCCAATGTGTATTACTTTACATTTATCCACATTAAATTTCATTTGCCATTTTGTTGCCCAATCACTTAGTTTTGTGAGATCTTTTTGAAGTTCTTCACTGTCTGCTTTGGTCTTAACTATCTTGAGCAGTTTAGTAACATCTGCAAACTTTGCCACCTCAGATAAATCAAAACGAGAAATAAAACGCCATTCTATTTTTAAATGTACCCTCTTAAAGCCAGTTTAAAAATTGTATTTCTTTCCATTAAAATGAGGTTATAAATAGTTTTGAAAAGCTTCTCTATGCAAGGTATTTAAAATACCCTTCCCACGGGTCCCAGTGGGTTTCTTGAAGTCTGCACAGCCAATCTAAAAAGAACTACAGCTTTATTTTTCCACTGGTTTGGTGACCAGATGACAAAAAGTGGAACCAGAACCTTCTGGAATTAAATTGCATTACACAGTGACCTTCAATGCCCCTGCAAATTGTCATTCTTTTCAATTTTTGCAGTGTGTGCCTGCCCTATTATTATAACAACAACAACAAGATTTAGTAGTCTACACAATATATTGCGCAAATACCAAAGTACACGTAAAAAGCGTATACTATAAAAATACAAAACAGAGATGGAGGATAGGGGAAAGGAGCACAACAGATAAAGAAAGCGATCAAGGGGTAACTACCATGTTTTACTGATTTTTTTCATTAGATAGTCTATCTCCCAAGTACACCACAATCTAGGCACAGTCAGCCAATTGATTTCTTGTATGGATCAGTAAGCCAATATAAGGCATTTGTCAAACTAAGTAATATTACATACAAAAAGTGTTAAAAGTATTTAGGTTGCAAAGGCAAGCATGCAAGTTAGAAAATGATAGATTTAGGATTGCTCTTGCAACCTTAGTTCAGCATCCTGGTCAACCTGTTCACTGAATTAGGCAGGGGCCATGTGGAAAAAATTGTATGGGGGTCATGTAATTAATGGTCATAAACATACGCAAGAGGCCAAATTACGGTTGCATGGACTACTGTAAATCTGACATTTTCCTTACTTTTCAGTGCTTGACTTTGCAACCTACAAAATATCCTTTTAATTTAGTTTTTTGTAAGTAATGTCCTAGGATGTTTTAAAGAACAAAAGAAAGAAAAAATTCTGTTATGTAGAACTGCAGTAACCTCTTCAAGGTTTGAATCCTGAGTCTTCTGCACTATAGCACAGACTTCTACCACTTGAGATACAGGACTAACTCCATTAGCTGGAAATGTTATGCCAGACGCGGGGGGGAATTGCTGTCACCATATACAAAGGTTAACTTTTACTCTATGCAATTGAATTGTTACACCAGCACACATATTTATAAAACATACTATGTTAAAATAATTTAAGCCCCTAAAATAAATTATTTACAACAAAGATGGTTTTACTGCTATAATTTATCCTTTCCTACTTTTCAATAAACTGATGATATCTGTGGGCTGGTCTACACTGAAAATTTACATCAGCATAGCTATGAAAAATCCACACCCTTGAGAGATATAGCTGTCGACCTAATCCCCAGTGAAGACAGTGTTACATGAATGGCAGAATTCTTCCGTCAACCTAGATACCACCTCTTGTGGAGATGGATTAACTACAGCGATGAAAGACCCCAACTGTCACTGTAGCAAGCGTCTACAGAAGTGCAGAACTGCAGCTGTGGTGCTGTAACGTTTTAAGTGTACAAATTCCCAAATCAATTGTATTTGTTTCAGTACGGTAAAAAATTTTTTTTAAAAAATCCCATAATAAGGGCTGCATTCAAACAGGAAGAAAGCACCTGAAGGATAATAGGGTTATAAGGAATAGCCAGCATGAGTTTGTCAAGAACAAATCATGCCAAATCAACCTGATTTCCTTCTTTGACAATGTTACTGGCCTAGTGGATAGGGGAGAAGCAGTAGATGTGATGTATCTTGGTTTTAGTAAAGCTTTTAACACAGTCTCACATGACATTCTCATAAACAAACTAGGGAAATTTGGTCTAAATGAAATTACTATAAGGTGGATTCACAAGCACAACTGGTAGAAATACTGTACTCAAACCCAATAAGATTCACTTTCCTTTTGTTTAAAGAGGAGAGTAGCTCATCCAGATAACCAGGGCATGCAACTTGGTTCCATGGAGTACAGACTGATGCTATATGCAGACAATGTCCTTTTGTATATATCCAAACTAGAAATCACTATTTTAACCCTCTTATCACCAATTCAAAAATTTGGAGCAATAGCTAGTTACAAAATAAATTGGGAAAAATCAAAAATATTGCAAATCTCCCGATTGTCATGTTATGAGGCTTTTTCTCAATGGAATTTCCATAGGCAACCTGATGTAATTAAGTATGTAAGTATAAAAGTACCGAGAAACTTTAACTAACTAGTGAAGATTACTTATCTGAAAGAGTACAGGATTTAAAGTTATGATACAAATAAGTGGCATCTTCTCTCCCTGAGCCTATGGGGAAGGTCAATACAGTAAAAATGAATATTTGGTTTAGGCTCCTCTATATTCTAAATGGCCTACCTCTGTCACAGATGTCAAATGGGTTCCAGCATGCTAACACCCTTATACTTACATGGGTGGAAACTGAACAGGTATTAATGCATCCGCCTCCCCTGCAGGTCTGCTGAGTTTTTCTTTTTGTCTGATAGAGAAAAATAGGGTGCCTGCAGCAGTGGCTGCGCAAAGGGTCTGGGCTGTCCTAGCTAAGAGGTACCCATTTACTTGCTGTGCTCCAAAAGCACCTATCTAGGGTAACCCAGACTTGAAAATTGGGAAAAAAACTTGGAGAAACTGGCTGAACAGGGGTATGATATGGATTTCCAACATTCAAGAAACAATATGACCTGCCACCCTTAGTTGAGTGACTGTACTAACAACTAAAACACTTGCCAACTTATCAGTTTGGTCTGGATGCCCTAGGACTGCCACAGGCCCCAGAGTTACTAAGAACCACTGGAATGTTTCATACATTCCCCAGGCCCATGTCCACTATGTATGCTTTATTAATGAAGGGGAACTCCAGTGGTCTGGAGTTCTTTGTGAAAGCGTGGGAAGGGGAATTATCACAGCCCTTAAAAGTACCCCAATGGCAGAGCATATTATAGAATGTTAAAAATGCTTGTGTAGATCTCAGGCTATGCCTGATACAGCAAAAGATTTGATTCAAAATGTATTGGACCCAACAGAGGTTGCACGATCAAGAAGCCTTGTCCTCTGATGTTTGTTGATGCTGTAGTAAAAAAAAAAAAAAAAAAAAAGGAACCCTGATATATATATGCTATGGACTGTCCAATAGCTAGGCAGCTGTGGAAACAGGTGGACTCAAGAGTGAAATTAGTTGTTGGCTTCTGCAACCAAAACTCAGTTGAAAATTATAATCCCAGGTTACGTACCTATATGCTGGTTTTATCTCCACCACTAAGGACTTGTCTACATTGGTAATTTACAGCACTGCAACTTACTCGCTCAGGGGTGTGAAAACACCCCCCCCCCCCCCCCGAGCGCAGCAAGTTCAGCACTGTAAAGCGCCAGTGTAAACAGTGTCCCAGTGCTGGGAGCTACGCCCCTCGTTGAGGTGGGTTTTTTAGAGCACTGGGAGAGCGACCACACAAGGCACGTTAAAGCGCTGCCACGGCAGCTCTTTAGCATTGCCAGTGTAGACTAGCCCTAAGATTTTGGTTCAGAAATTTAACAAAAGTGGAGGAGTAGGCTTATGACTAGAATAGAGCAGTGATATTCCGACCTTCTGCGTTAGCATCAAAAGAAAGAATAGCTCATTGAGACTGAGAGTAATTATAGGATTTAGAAGAAATTTTGAACCTGATTCTTTATACATTTGGATAAAGAATGCTGAGATAGCTCAAATAATGCCAGGGTTCCATTGTACCTACCCTTTCTGCTTTTTCCCTCCTGTATTTTCCCCCTTTTATTTATTTATATCTTTTTTTTGGTTACCCCCAACCCTAACATGTTATGCCTGTGTAATACTGTCTGATTTTGTGTTGTATGGTCTTTCAGCTTAGACCAGTTGTGAAACTGTGTAATTGCGTACCTTTATTGGATATCCTTGGAAAATGCGGGTTTGAGTAACATATACAAGCTGTAAATCAACTACCTTTTTGTATTTTTGTTTGTTTCTTTATGAAAATTCATCAAAAATTTTATAAAAAGAAGAGTAACTGAGTAAAGTCCTCACAAGCAAGTATATGAACACTAAAAACATTTCTGTAGTCTTACCTCAGCTCTCTTCAGCATCTCCCATTTATTCAGTATTTTCATGGCAAATACCTTATCTGCATTTTTCAGTTTTACTACTGCAACCTGGAAAACATAAATTGCAGATGAATAACCTAAAATAGGAAAATAAGTGGTTGCCAGAATAATCCTTTTTTGGACATATGTAGACGGCTGAGTTGCTTTAATTTATTTTTGTTGTGATAGGATTTTGGACTCTTTGATTTATAACTTCACTCTGTGTACATGATGCCGTACCAAGCATTCATCATCACAAACCATGAAGAGTAATTTCACAGCTGTCCAGGGTATTTGTTCTGTAAAAGTTCTTAAGTTCCCCTTAAGCCTCCATTACATAAAAGTATATCCTTCTACATTACAATAGCTCAACACAGCTGAAAGATGGCACTTCTATCATATCATACTTCCTTTCCCCTCTATAACCTATTACTGCCATATCATCACTGGATATGTTCCCAAAACTTGGAATAGTTATTGAACCCTCTCTCTTCTATCACTGAACTAAATGGCTGCAGCAGCAAACAAGAAAGAGCTCCTGGTAACGTAGTAGTCAGGTCCCAAAACCAAGGAACATTAGAATATCAGCGGGTACAACAAATTATTTACTGGAGATTTGCTATAGGATAAATCTTCTAGACCTATTTCAAAGAACAGGGGAAGCTATAATAAATACAAATAATTAAGCATAATACTCTGCACTCCTATACCATTTTCCATATGAAGCTCTCACGGAGGTCTCTTTACACCCCCATGACCTAGGGGAGTATTATCATCCCCATTTTATGGATGGGAAAACTTAAAAACAGAGACGTTATGATTCTTACTTAACATTTACATTAGACATCATAGCTAAATTTGGCAATTTACCAAGAGAATAAACCCAAACTCCTTGTCTTGAGGATTTTACAATCTAGATTAGATACAATATGACAAAAGCCAGGATGGGATCATATCAAGAAAGAGGCAGGGCAAGTGGGAGGTGGGGAAGTTTATACAAAACAAATTTATTATTCTTTTTGTTTTCACAATGTTGACATCATAGGTACAGTCCTGAGTTCCCTAGTTCAGATAAGACACAAAAACAAAGGAAGTCTGAAGCAAAGCTAACAACAGAGCCCAGGACTCCTAACCTCCTGAGCCACAAAATTAACCTTCAAATATGAAAAGCTCAGTGCTTCATAAATTTTAAAATCCATACATCAATCTACCCCAATTCCCATTCCCTTGCAAAGAACGGCATACTCCCAGGGCCTAAGGAGAGAAAAGATTGTTTTTGTTTTGGTTGCAGACCAGGATGTTGTCACACAGATTAGCATCATCTTTACCCTGCAGGCTAGTGACAACACACACACACACAAACTATATTATACATGGTTGAACACTACACTTTCTCCATCTCTTTCATATTCAGCAACCTGGCTACATGCCAGAGAAGTAATAACAGGAAAGAAAATGCAACAGATGCTGACAGCTTGATGAAGGAAATGTCACGCAAGGCTCTTTTCAACCCTTCTTCAAAGGTGGCACCAGCTGAAATAGCTTCATCAGGCTAGTATAGGTGCATGTTGAACTCCATTTACAGTTCTTATTGATGTCTAAAGCAGAAACACACTCTTTCTCTAGCTAAACTATAAATTGGGTGGAACAGCTATTAATTCCCAGACGTGCTGTGGTACATTAATCAGTCCTGCCCTCCATCACATCCCACCCCCTTGTGAAAATAAAATGCAATTCAAGAAGAAATGAAAAGAGGAGAAAATACAAGGATATCAGACCTCGCTATTAAAACTAGTTTCCACACTAAATTTTTTAAAGGCTACCCCCAATAAAGGTCAGCCATATGAACCTAGGTTCCCATACAAAGATTCATTCAAAAAATATTGATTCTAAGGCCAGAAAGGACCACTGTGAACACCTACACTGACACACTGCAAAACCAGGCATAGAACTTCCCCAAAATAAATTCCTGTTTGAACCACAGCAGTTCTTTTTAGAAAAACTTCCAGTCTTGAGTTAAAAATTGCCAATGATTGAAAATCCACCACAGCCTTCAGTTTAGATTCATATTCATAAAAGACTTTCAGGTCAGACTTGGGATTTCTCAAGACTTGCTCAAATTTGGTACTGAAAATTTTTTAGATTCCTTGTCAGTTTCATAGCTGTCCCAGGGTTCTAAATAGCAGTGTTGAAACTTACTAGTTTCAGTTTCACTCTTTGCTTCTTGAGAAATCAATGAGCAGTACCAAAGGCAGTGGAGCTGGATATCTCACTCAAGACGACAACACTGCATCAGTTTATATTTTTTTCATATTTGGAAGGTGACCTTTACAACCATAATGGCTAGAAAGTTTCTCTTTTGTTTTAAGAAGAGGTTAAATTCTGCAGAAATTAACAAGTTAAACCCCTTCATTTACCAGGGAACCCTTCTGCTTGGCACTAGTAAAAAAGTAAGTGGACTTTTAAAATTCTGTCAAGGAGTTAGGTGCTTCCAAATTGGCCCATAGTGGTGGCTGTTAATGATCCAGGGCCTAAGCAGATCTGCTACGATTTTCAAGGCGGGCTAAAGGAGTTAGATCTCCAACTCCCATTGACTTTCAATGGAATTTAGGCACCTAACTCCCTTTGATCCCTTTGAAAATCCCAACCATTGCATGTAGAGTGATCCCTACCCCAGCTAACCTGGGAAACGAGGACATTTATTGTTAGTTTGGGTTTTTTGGTAGCTTCTGTTAGAAAAATACTTGAAGAAGCAAAGAGAAACATGCCTACATACAGTGTAGAGATGAGAAGCCTAGCTAATGAGGGGCAGAAGCAATTTGACAGCATGCCAGGGAGCATTGCTGTTTGTGGGAAATATGTAAAACTGTTGGAAGAATGAAAGAGAAAATAAAATCCAACTAAAACCAAAATGTTTACATCAGCACATACCAAACATTTTTCAGTGGCCTGCTCACAGAAAAAAAATAAATTTAAAAAAGGTTTAAATGTCCAGTTTTAATAAGTTCCAGGAACCAGACATTTTATGATGAATAGAGGGGAGTGATTATCAGTTCTCTCTTTCTTTGACAGTTAAAAACATTTTTTGAGGATAGCAGAGCATCAAAAAGGCCCTTTGTGTATGTGTTTGTGTGTATATATGTATTACATATGCTATCTACGCACGCACAAACACACACACACACACACACACACACACACCCTAGTGTCTATATAATGTTTCAGAATTTTATTTTAATTTTGATTAGAAACAATAGCAGCCTTGTTGATTACTATTTAAGTGGCACCACTGTGTTTCATGTTGCACAATGCACAGTAAAAACAAACTCTTTAGATCAAGGAGCTTACCATGTAACTAGATAGTCAACACAAAATATAGTGTTACTCTCCAAAGGAAGTTACTCTCCATAGCCAACACAGTTTTAAACATGACTTTGTACATGATGTAGACAGAATAAGTTTTATCTAGAGACATAGTAGAAGATTTACATAAAATAAATGTTATAAGGTTGCTTGGTACAGATTGACCATGTCTAGTAGAAAAATACGTTGTGTTTTTTAAAACATGTTAGCTAACATGTTTTAACTAGCATAATTTTAGACAGGGCAAATTATGTTTAAAAACATGTTAACTGGTTGTGACCAACCCTAGGAGTTGATCACAACCTGCTAACACATTTTTAAAGATAACTTCATAGCTTTTAAAGCCAGAAGGGACCATTATGGTCATCTAGACTTACCTGCTTCATAACACAGGCCTGACACACTCTGTACCCCAAAAAGACACACTGCATCCCATATTCACCATTGGTGATATAATTATATGTTTTGTACAAAGTATGTCTTGTGAGGTATCATTTTAAAAGTCTTAATCTGTTGAACATTAATATCTTGTTAAGTGGTATGTGCTACCATTGTATATGAAGTTATGAAGTTTTGCTATGTATGTGCCACTGAAACATGTTCTGAGGTTGGGAACACCCAACAATCAGCCTTTCAGGTACAATAACTCCTCACTTAACATCATCCCGGTTAACGTTGTTATGTCGCTGATCTATTAGAGAACATACACATTTAAAGTTGCGCAATGTTTGCTTATAATGTTGTTTGGCCGCTGACTGCTAGCAGGTGAGGGCTTGGAACCAGAGTGGGCCGGCAGCCCCATCAGCTCCCCCCACCCAACAATGAGCCCTGTGGATCAGCAACTCCCCGCTCTCTCCCCGCAGCAATCAGTTGTTTCGTGGCGTTCAGGAGGCTCAGGGGGGAAGAACGAGGACGTGGTGCACAGGCTCCCCCTCCCTCCCCGCACCTCCCGCCCGCAGCAATCAGCTGTTTTGCAGCATTCAGGAGGCTTGGGGGGGAGGGGAGGAGCAAGGGACGTGGCACACTTGAGGGGAGGGAGTGGAGTCGGGGCGGGCCTGGGGCAGAGCTGGGGGTTGAGCACCGCCCGGCATTTTGGAAAGTCGGCGCCTGTGCAGCCGTGCATGCGACGTACGGAGGAGGAAGTGGTGCACTCCAGCGGGATAGCATGGGTTCATCATCACATTCAGTTTCTGAAGGAAAGTGTTTGCAGCTGCTGCCATGCGTCTATTGTCTCCTCTCCCTCCTGCCTCCCTCGGTGCTGCCTTCTAGAGTGTGAGGCTACATTAACAACAACATGTTAATCCTTGAGGGCTCAGCCGTGTGCTAGTTCACCATTTAGCAGCAAGGCATTCCCTTGGAAATATCTCACCTGATATCAACATGGTTGCTTTAGGAGAAACTCAGGGAGTGCATGAGCAGGTTCTCAGACAATCCTCTGATTAGAACTTGTTTAAAACTTATACTGTATATAATGTCTTTTGTCTGGCGAAAAAGTTTTCCCTGGAACTTAACCCCCCACCCCATTTACATTAATTCTTATGGGGAAATTGAATCTGCTTAACATCGTTTTGCTTAAAGTCACATTTTTCAAGAACATGAGGGACAAAAACTGAACTGGGGGACGTGCTGGTCCCAGATGGGAAGGACGGAAGCCTGCCTGTGTATGGAAGTTTGGTGGACTGTTTGTACTATTTAACAGAGTGAAA